TGTTCTGCCCAGTCAGCCCTGGGATCAGGTGTAGGTGGCCCAGGCCTGCTGTTGCAGGAGCCTCTTTAAGCTAAATTGGGCTGGCCTGGCTCTGCAGCCAGCCCTTCCTGCTCTGCACTGACTGAGTAGGGGAGCATTGGGGAGCCCTCATTGATCCCATCCCTTTTTGGATCCCTGAGCCTTTTAACACATCACTCAGCCCCTCATCCGGTCAGTCATTCAATCATTTAACAAACACACTGGGAGCCCCCCCATGACCAGCGTGGCAGTGGGAACTGGGAACCAGTCCACAGGGAGACAGGCAGATAGGGCCCCACGGTGTCACAGGCGGTAGGTTAACACACATACAGACCAGGCAGGGTCATGCTACCTGGGTTGGGGACATGCAACATTGGGAAAGGCCTCCTGGGAGACTCGGGCTCTGGCTGAGCTGGGAAAGGAGTGGCTTCCCCATGGCTGGGTCAGGGGCGGGGGGGGGGGGGGGGGGGGGAAGGACCTGGACGTGCCCTGCAGAGGCATTCCAACACCAGTAAGATCACCTGAAACAGGCGTGCAGCTTCCCCTCACCCTGGAGCGTCTGCTCACTTCCTGGTCAGACTAGACGGTCAGCCCCTAGGTTTTGCATTCCTATACGCAGTGCTCTCTGGGTGGAGGTGGAAGAGGCTTTGGTTTGCAACATTTGCTAACTTCTGTGGTGCAAATGCTCCCACCACGGACAATTTCAAGCTACCGATGCAATGTTAACCATCTTGCAAAACTCCTGAAAATTTATGTTGGTTTTCATGCCCGGCTGATGCGGCTCAGTGGTTGAGTATCGACTTATGAACCAGGAGGTCCTGGTTTGATCGATGATTTTTCTCTCATCATTTGTGTTTCTCTCCCTCTCCCTTCCTCTCTGAAATCAATTTTTTTTTTAAAATATTAAGTTGGCTTTCATAGGCCAGAATCAGGAAGCTCTAAGCAGTCATTTAACAGTCACATTCTGTCCTGGTCCCTGCAGTCTCTCTCTGTTCCTGCTCTTCAATCTATACTTCTAGGTAACCACCCTCAAATTCACCATAAGTCACCCATCCCCCTGCCCCAGACTTATGGACAGCTGCCGGGCCTTTCCCTTTGAGCCCCAGTTCCTGAGGAAGGATGGCTCTGGCAAGAAAAAGAAATCTATGTGGAGACGAACACATTCTCCAGACCCGGAGGAAATGCAGAGTTTGCTGAATTGGCCCCCAGGAGCTAAATAAACGAGTCGCCATCCTCCCAAGACTCGTTCTGCTCTCTCACCCCTCCTGCTTCTGAGCCCCAGCAGCAGCCTCTCAGCCGGGCCTCTCGGGATGCTCGGGTGTGGCCACCTGGGATTACACTTCATTCTGTGCTCTCCTCTATAACCAGAAAGGCCTCCCTAACACCCTGCCCCGAAAGGAGAGATGAGAGGAGGGGGAGCCCCTCCCCTCAGCCGAGTCTCCTACCTCACCTTCCATTGCACAAGGAAATTCTCCCCGAGTGGGCAGAGCGGGGCACCAGCCTGGCCTGTATTTCGCCCCTGGATGGGCTGTGCAGACACAGCCTCACCCTGCTGTAGGAAAGAAGCATGTCCTGGAAATCGCGTGTTCAATAGCAACACCGCCCTCCGCCCTTGGAGCACTTCTGAGCTTCCAAAGCCCTTTTTTCCCACGGTGCATCATGGGATACAAGCCCCACCCCAACACTCTGCAGCGGGTAGTGGTCATTAAAGCACCCTCCTGGTGTCCCAGCCTGTTGGTGTTGGAAGGGACTTCAGATGCCATCTCATCCAGCCACCCACCTAGAAAGCTTCCTGACCCTCCACGGGGTCCAGCTGATCAGCCTTCTCTGCATGGCCTCGTAGGAGGGGAAAGTCCACCCCCTTTCCCCTGATGGCAGTCCATTCTGCATTGAGAACTAGAAGGTGGGAACTTACCGGGGTTGAGCCCAGATCTGTCTCCATGTTAAATAGATCTAATGCACTGTTTGTAATTTGATCCTTCGGGGCATACAGGATAGAATCTAGAATCAAATCTTTTTTTTTTTTTAATATATTTTATTGATTTTTTTACAGAGAGGAAGGGAGAGAGATAGAGAGCTAGAAACGTCGATGAGAGAGAAACATCAACCAGCTGCCTCTTGCACACCCCCTACCGGGGATGTGCCCGCAACCAACGTACATGCCCCTGACCGGAATCGAACCCGGGACCTTTCAGTCCGCAGACCAATGCTCAACCACTGAGCCAAACCTGTTTTGGCTAGAATCAAATCTTTCATTCATACAGCTCAAAGAGGCTTTCACGTCTCTCCATCGTCCCCCTTACACATTTCAGATTCCTCCCAATAGTCCTCATATGGCACAGTGCAGGATCCCTTCCCCAGTCAGTGCTCCTCTGAGTGTGCCTCCTGCCCCTGTCCCAGCACGATGGGTGGCACTGGAGGCTTTGTGTGGACTGGGCCTCTGAGTGCAGCATTTGCTGAGGCCAGTTTTCTCATTTGTTTGTTCGACAGACATATTACACTTTGGATATAATGAGCCTGCTGTCAACAAAAGCTGCTGCTGAACTGTGTCTCCCCTGTTTGGCACTTAAAGTATTGATTTTTTTTTTTTTTTTTTTTTGGCCGAAGTGCTAAAAGTGTTAAGTGCCGAATTATTAAATGAAAATGAATCTTGTTAGACTCAGAGTGTTGCCAACATCTTTAAAGACCTTTTGAATCTGTTTCCTGTCACCCATGTTTGTTAAGCATTTCGCTAGACATCCTCTAAGCATTGAAGAGGAGGGCCAGGCAGAAAGCATACTCCCTCTCCTAGGAGCCTTCCTCATGCTGATACCAACCCTGCAGCTGTGGTCCTTTGGGGGAAGCTAACTAATTCACACAACTGTCCACCAGCACGGCTCTCCATGTTTTCCACAGGGATAGCTGGGAGGTACCAGGTGAGGTCACTTAACACTGTCCATGCCTACCACGTCTGTCTCATCTGCCAGCTCAGAAGGCGTGTTAAAGCCAGAAGCTGAGCCTCCTAGCAGGCACTCGGCCCTGTGACCCCAGTGCCCAGCACAGTGCCCAGTACATGACAGGGACCGGAGTAGCATTTGGAGAAACAATCTGTTGCATTTGTGAATGAAAGAAACTGGCCCAGGTCAATGTGAGCATTAGCAATATTTAATATTTCTGAGTCCACCTTCTTTCTCTATTTTGAAAATTGGAACATTAGTTTGTACTTTCTTCCTTACAGCATCTCTTTAATACTCGTGAATCCTAAAAGAGCACCAATGTGCTTACTGATAAGATAATAGGAGGGTGGGAGAGTTAAGGGATTTGCCCAAGGCCCACAGCTCCCAGAAGGCAGTAGGACTCCGGGTACCATGGAGGCTGTCCAGCCTCCTGTGCACCGGGTCTGAGAAAGTTCCACCAGCTTGGCCAACAATAGCAAAGCTATTTCATCCTAACAAAGGAATGATATGGACACAGTATAGTAAAGTAGATATGGTTCTTTTATAGTCCCAATCTTATTCACTGCCCATCATTCATTAATTCGGTTCATTGGTTCAACAAATATTTATTGAGCCTCTACTAGTGCCAGGCAGAGTCCTTTTGTCTTAGGGGCAGGAGAGATTTAACTAAGCAAATAGACATGTAGCGCATGTCATGATAAGGGCTATGAAATAAAGCAGAGGAAGGGCATTGCAAGGGGCACAGGGACTCTTTACTCTGAAGATGTGATGTCTGAGCAGAGACTTAAATGGAGAGAATGAGACAGCAGGTGTCTTGGGGATATTGGCACCAGCAACACTGTGCTGTGTTCATGGAAGTACAATACTTTTCTCCCAGAAAGCAGGGACCTAGATCATATGACAAACTTTTAGCTATAAAATATCTGCTGCTTTTGCGGTAGATGCATTCATTTACCCGCTCATTCATTTTCTCTACAAACACTAAGTGTCTACTCTGTGTCGGGGGATGAGTGCTGGGGGTGAAGGTGTGGACGATGTGTTAGTGCAGGAGGCAGACAAATCTATGAGCCCAATGGCACAGCGCTGTCTCGGTGCAACGGACAGGTAAGACATGTCACCATTCATGGGATCCCTCTGACCAAAGAAAATATAACATAAAAGCATTATCTTCTGTAACGATGGTTATCAGAAGTTTTAAAGCCATTTAAACATTTCTTCAATGAAATCTTATACAGGAAATTCAACATATCATATTAAAAGGAGTTTCCCTGATTATAAAAATATATATATATATATATATATTAAAGCCCTAGAGGCACCTTTAAAGCATGTAACAGGATGAAAACAACCGCTCTAAATATTTGTGAGAGCTGAGAACAGAAGCCTGAGCAGAGTCACTAAAATCTGCTTCTCGTCTCGTGGTCAACCAAATCTGGGGACCATTCAGTTTTCTATTGAAACCTTTAAAACAGTTACCTCTGGCTTGTGTTACATGCAATAGACCTGCCCACATGAGAACATCTCAGCTATTTTTTCCTCCTCTCCAAGTTATCAAACTTAACACTGCCCAGTACATCCCAGATGACTCCTCGGCACAATTTAAAGGGCTCGGGTTTTTTTTGTTTGTTTGTTTGTTTGTTTGTTTTTCAGAGTGGAAGTGAGAGGGAGAGAGAGAAGCGTCAATGATGAGAGAGAATCATAGATCAGCCATCTCCTACACACCTTCAACTGGGGATCGAGCCCGCAGCCCAGGCATGTGCCCTGACTGGGAATCAAACCATGACCTCCTGGTTCATGGGTCAGAAGCCACACTGGCCAGGCAACAATCATCTCTTTTAAAGTGTGCTGTGGACCACCTGTTTTTGAATGGCCCTGTATTGTTCTCTAGAACATTCTCATGTGAAGAAAGACCTGCTTTCTCCCGACTGTAGCGCATATACAAATGGACACTCGTTATACACTCACCACAGGCCACGGCAGCCCTAGCCATTCCAGCCAGCCGTCCTGACCACACTAACTGCCACCTCCTCTTTCTTCTCTCTGCAGATGACGGCAACTGCTCAGACACCCTCTAAGGCCCAGGCTGTCCATATCTCCGCACCCTCTGCTGCTGCCAGCACTCCTGTGCCCAGTGCCCCCATTGACCCCCAAGCCCAGCTGGAGGCTGACAAGCGAGCTGTGTACAGGTAGGAGACACCCCAGCCAGCCTCAGGCCCAAACTGTGAGAGATGAGCCTGCAAGCCAGTGAGTGGGCTCGGCAAAGACAGTGGCCAGCAGCTGCTTCCTTCTCGGCCTTCTCTCTCAGATCAATCCGGAGGTCCCTCAGCTGGCCATTGGGGTTGACGCTAGCCCCTGGAATTGTCTAGTGAGGGATACGAGGGCCTGGGCAGTATCTTCCAGTATCTTCTTCATCCCTATTGGGGAGACGAGCCCTAATGAGCCAGAAACCCTCCATTCAGCAACCAGGCAGCTGCCTGGGCACTGCTCTCTGCCTCATCTCACTGTGGCCTTCACTCCAGCAGGAAGCTCTGCGCATCTATTGCAACGCCTGGCACTTGGTATGACACCAGCTTTAGTGTGCCTGGTAGTCATTGGCAGAGCTTGTTAAATGCATGTTGTGGGCTCCGTGCTCCATCCTGAGTCCATAGATGAGGCTATAGCAACATGAACTTGTGGAAGCATGCCTGGTGACTCCAGTGCAGCTGGTCCTGGAACCACATTTTGATTCATGGTCATCTTGGCATTTTTAGCAATAGGCGTTGTGTGCGGCTGTGTAGATCCTGGCACCTCCTCCAGGTGGGGGCAGAGAGCAGGAACTCAGTCCATCTTGCTCTACACCAGCCCATGCACCCAGGGCTGTCCCCCCCCCCCCCTCCCGCAATGGTCCAGAGGGCGGGAAGAACTCAGGGAAGTTCCTGTTTATGTCTGTGGCTGGGAAGAAGCTGGCATCTACTACTGAGAGCAGGAGTGAACGAGGCTCCAGCAGGGACTGAAGAGAAGATGCCTGGGCCACACTCGGTTCTGCGGCTAGACCCTGGCTCACGTCCGCTGTGTGAGCGTAGGCGTTCAGGTGCATCAGTGAGCCCAGCTTACCTCTGGCTGGGCCACACTGCAGCAGGTGCTAACGTCAGTAACATGTGCAATGGGCCACCCAGGGCAGGGAGGAAGAAGATTGATTTCTTCTTCCTCACTCCCCACCCCACAGATGACTGTGCCTTTATGGTAATGGTGGCGATTATGGCTGTTATTATCATTATCGTTGGCATTATTTTTAGTTACTCAGATGAGCTGAAGGCCTCTAATGCTAACAGTGGGGAGTCCAGAACAGTGGGCTCTGATCCGTAGATCCTGGCACAGCAGTGCTTGCCAGGCCTGAGGAAAGATACATCGCAGGGCCTGCCTGCCCACCCCAATGCACAGGCCCGGCCCGGCTGCCTGCAGGCAGTAAACTCCACCTTGGACCCCAAAGAACAACAGGATCTGATTCTAGGGGATAAGTCAACCTCCCCCATCATAGGACTTGGCATTCCTGTCATTCATGTCCTCCTTCCCTTATTGACCCCCTCTTATTGACCCCCTGCTATTATATGTGCTGGACTCTTGGGAAAAGAGGAAACCCCTAAAAAGATAAGAGCATGGGCTGGTCTCTTGTCTCCCCCAAAAAGAAACCAACACAGTGGTCAGAGCTCTAACAGCAGAATGTATGAGCTGGATCTTCAAGGCCAGTAAGAGGCTCACAGGAGGAGCAGCGGGAGGAGGAGGATCTGCAGGCAGGATAGACCTGATATACTCTGGGAATGCCAGGAGCCAGAGCTGGGCGTGGGGAGACGCAGCTTCATCGCCATCCGTAAATTAACTGTGTGGTGGCTGGTGCTCTGTGGGGTGTGAGAAGGGAGAGGAGAGTACCTTGGCCTCCGGAATTGCCTGGTGGCCCGATGACGAAACTCCATAGATCACTGCTGCCCCAAGGAGGGGCACAGCAAGCAGCATGGCAGCACCTGGGAGCTGATTAGAAATGCAGAATCTCAGCTCCCCCAGCCCTCGGGATGTGTGATCTGCCCTTTAACAAGACCCCAGGCGATGCACATGCGCACTAAAGACTGATCCTGGCACCTTCCCAGAGCCCTGGGGCTGGGCCCTATACTGAGCTCCGATTCAAACCTGGAGGGATCCCCAGATTAGGGGTGCACTGGTCTCCAAGCTTTAGTTTTGCAGCAGGGCCTCATCCCCAGGTGTGATAAGGGTTCATGAGACAGCCATGTGAGTACCCGGCACCACATCTGGCTCAAACCATAGCGATCCCCAGGCTCCCATCAATTGCTCCATGGGCTCCATAGCCTTTCCCAGGACCCCAGGCTCCTTCCCCTCGCCCCTCACCCCCACCCCCAGGCCAGGCTGCAGGGGGCACAGCCACCTCCTCTGTGGGAACTGCCCATCAGGATGCCACTCCTTCCTGTACGCCTTCACACCCAATCTTCACCTCTCCCTCAGGCTGGCCACCCCACAGCCCTTGGTGTCTACCCAGGTTGTCTCTGCAGGTGGCCCCCCCCAGCTGCCCGGCAAACATGGTGACCCCCTGCATCTCAGGACATCAACACCCACAGCTTCTCCTCTCTGCAGCCCTTCCTGCCTGCCCCCTCCCACAGGTTGCCTCTCACACCACACCTCTCCCATTAGTACCAGCTGCCCTCTCTACAGCCCTCCTACATGACTGGGAGGGAACTCAGCCTCCAGGAGGGCGGGCGATTTTAATTAGATTTGCCTGCCACGGGCAGTCCGGCTGCTCCGGAGCACTTCAGGGAGTTGGCCTTTCATGTCAACAAATGCAATGAGACCCTTTCGACGCAGATTAGTGCCCACACTGGCTTTTGGGAGCCCCCACCACAGCCCCTCTCAGGACCATAGGTGAAGAAAGAGTAGAGAAGTCCCCAGCCCCTGCCATGTGACAAAGGGAGGCGCACCTGTGAGGGAGGGCGCCTGCTAGTCCCCTAAGGTTTGCAGGGTTGTGTCTATGTATGAGGATGTGTTCATGAAATGTACTGGTTTCCTCTGATATGGACTGTGTGTGTGTGTGTGTGTGTGTGTGTGTGTGTGTGCAGGGGCAGAGGGGAGGCCCGGTCTGTCTTTAATTGGATCAGACCAGAGCATCATCTGGGCTAATCAGCCAGGCAGCCAGGAGTCCCACTCAGATTAATGACCACAGTCTAATCTGAGCAGACACGGTGATTGGCTGTACATCGCGGGTAATTGTGTTTGTGGCTCGGGAGCAATACTGAGGGGCTCTGAGAAGGAAACCCCGTGCAATGGGGACCACAGGCTTGGACCCACACAGTTCTCTGCTTCCTCAGCCCCCACCGCAACCCCAGGATTCCCCCCCAAGAAGTTAAAGTGTAGCTTGAGCCGAGGCCCCATCTCCGTGCTGACGGACAGACGGACGGGTGTTGTCTGGGACCTGGCAGTGAGGTTGCCAGCAGCACAGAAAAGGGCCAAGAGGGGAGGTTAACTCGGCTTCCACACTCCCTCCTCCCCTCCAGTCTCCTTCCTTTCCCTTTGAAGTGAGTGGGTTCCCATGGAAACGATGATGTCCTGGGGAGCAGAAGAGATGCAGGGAGCTGGCCCGGCCAGGTGCGGTGGAGGAGGAGGAGGAGGCTGGCTTTGCTGAGACTGCTCAGGAGGTGCCGTGGTTCTCACCCCTAAGGCTGAAAACCTCTGAGAACCCACAAAGTGGCCGGCCTGGCGCTGAAGAAGTGGCCTATTATTGATGGGAAATGCCGCGTGGAGGTGTGAGCTGCGAGAAAACAGCAGGCACTTGTGCTTTGCTTTTCCATTAAAAATGCTAGAGAATTGAGCAGCAGGTCAGACGGACGGGGTGAGTGGCTGCTGTACCCTATACAGTTGACCCTTGAACAACACAGGGGTTTAAGGGTGCTGACCCCGAGGCAGTAAAAAAAACCCAACTATAGCCAAAACCGGTTTGGCTCAGCAGTAGAGCATTGGTCCCTTCCTCTCTGTAAAAAATCAAAAATATATATTTTAAAAAAAAAAAAAACAACCAACTATACCTTTGACTCCCCCAAAACTTCACAACAGTGGGCCCTTTGCATCCACAGATTCAACCAACTTCGGAGAAAAAGCAGTATATTTGATCCACAGAGAACACAAGTTGATAATGTAAAAATTCTGTTTATTTGATCTGCAGTTGGCTGAATCTCAGATAAGAAACCCGTGGATACAGAGGGCCCTGTATTTATTGGGGGGAAATCCACGTAAAATGGGGCCCGCGCATTTCAAACTCGTGTGGTTCAAGAGTCAACTGTATTTTTCCAATTACTCATAATGGAATTGATGGCGTTAGCATCATTTCTGTTTTTCCCACTAGATTGTTAACTCCGCGAGGGCAAGGTCTGTGTCTGCATCACTCATTGATTTATTACCCAGTACCGTAGAGTCAGCCGCCTGAATAATGTACTAGACCCGTGCTTACTGAATGGACTCTCTAACCCGGCTAGGCAGTACCCGTATGTACACAATGGTTCTAGGTTGCTGTGCTGGCAAACTGGCTCCAGGGGCCAAGGGGAGAGGAGAGCCCTGATTTGTAGCACTGGCATTTCCAGTGTAAATGCTCCTACCCTGGCCCATTTTGGGTTCCTAAAATGGGCTGCTGAACAGTGTTGGGAGGAGACACACCGCTGGCTCTGCCAGGCTAAACTAAAAACCTGCACAGGCGCCCGAGTCCCAGGCACGCAGTCTCTGCGCTAAAGAGCTCAGCGTGTCTCACCACCACTTCTCTGGAGAGACTTTCTTTGTATCTGTAGCCACGATCCTACATTCATTGGTCTTCACTGTTTTGTCTGGTCTACTCCCGGGTTCTGGGTTTGAAATGTTCTCTCTTTAAAAATTAATACTTAGGACAGTGCCTGGCACAGAGTGGGTGCTTTATAAGAATTTGCAGTTGTGCTTTTTTCTCCTTGACCCCAAGGTAGGGAGTTTTCTTCCTTCTAGATTGTACCCATCATTGTCAGTCTGTTTGAGTAAAGCCTTGTCATCACCCCCAACTCCCCTACCTTCTCCAATTCCAATCCTTTCCTGTTTTATCCACTGACAGACTTCTTCCTGGCAGCCCTCCTTCCCCCAATCCTGCCAGGCATCAAATCATTCTTCTGCCTCTTTATTTTCTCAGCTTTTA